TTACATAGAGCAGACACAGAATTACAGATGAGGTTGATGCTATAGTCTCTCTCAGAAGGCATATGCATCACAGTACCCCAGGCAAACCCATCAGAGATTTTCAACTCATACTCATAGGAAAATATTTAAAATTCTGCAAGATCTGTGTCCAGATGAAAAGTCAATAACAAATAATGTATTCAGGACACAGAAATATAACTACACCTCGGGGAGATAGGAAGTATAAGTTGCTGTGGAATCTCAGCTAAAGGGCCCCAGACTTTATTAAACCTGGAGCTGCGAGTGTGTAGGTGTTGAATTACACACATCAATAAGAAGAGAATGATTTCTGGGGGCAATTAGGAGAGATTTTGAATTATGGTACTTATCAGGCCCCGGGGAGTATTTTGGCAAGTTTTTGAAATGCACTCATGAAATCCTCATGCACTTTTGGAGATAGCTACAATGGCTGAAGCATGGATGCTCAAAGGACTCTTTGCTGTTTCATCTCATGTCATTTTTAGTGCAAAAACAGGGCTTCTCAGAGCAGCAGCATGTCCACCCTTGCTGTGTGCTGCTGAAAAATCTGTGGGGCTGTAACAATGCTTCTTTAGCATTGTTTGTAACTTGGAATTAAATCCTGGCCACATTTGCATCACTGCAAAAATTCAAAAGGGTTTACAGGACCAGTAATTCATTTTCTTGCTTTGGGTGGTATCTCAATTCATTGTTATCTGAGCTGAAGCAAGATGTAGGCAATTAAGATATAATGAATGTATTCAAGGAGAAAAGATTTTGTTCTGAGAAAGAGCATGCAAAGTCATGCAAAATACAAGCACTTTGGTAAATGATTTTCTAAAGATAAGGAGAGGGCTTCTCCATCTCCAGAGATGCTGCATCAGAGAGAGCAAGAAACTGATATCTGGAGCCCCATTTCCCATTACACTCCCTCTCCAGGCAAACATGTGTACATTTCTGGGAGAAAAGATCCCAGAATGCAGCTCAGTATTCAAGTAACTCACAAGAGGAACTATTTATGCTCACTCTCCTGGGGGTCTCTTCAGAGCTGTTCTGTAGCTGATTTTAGTGGGCAAAAAGGTCTCTTCTGTCTCTCAATGTAGAACAATATTCCATCATTAAGCACTCAAAAGAAGGTCCAGGAATCTAGAGTTGACGTTGGTTCAGTGATTCTACCTAAACATTTTAGAACTAGAAGTATTCTTCAGGACTAGCTAATAATAATTAAAGAAAAACAATGTGAGGTTCAAACACAGATACTCTTTATACAATGAAGATGCATGAGCTGGAGAGGGCAGCAAATTCTACAGCAGAACTTCTGGAATAGTGTAATATTAGTCACTAAAGCACTGCCATCTTCCAACAACAAAGATCTACAATGATTGGAGCATCATAGATTAAATTTCAGTTCTTAATAAAGGGAAATTTCTACCTTTGTACTGTGTTTGTGTAAGTGAAAACACCACTAGACTGCTTTGCTGATTAAACTGAACTTATGGTCTAGAGCAGTGTTTTCACTTAAAGATGCACCATGATAGGTTTAAAGCTGATGTAGAGGAAACTTCTACAGACAGTACATATTAGATTTGCTGCATATCTAGGGCAGACAAGCCATAGAAAATAGTAGTTGACTGTACTATCCAAATGAAAAAGAAAAAAAAATGTGTAATCAAACTAAATTTGATTATGCTTTAGTTTAGCATATTTGATTATGCTTTAGTTTTATATAACATGTCAAGAAAGAAAACAGCAACCAAAGTTCTAATAAACAGTTGTGTCAGAAATCTAACTTAAAAATAGATATCTTCCTTTAATCAACAACTTGATAATTATAAGCAATTAAATTCAGCAATATAGCAAGAAGTAAGCTAATGCTGTCAAACCAGTGGTCTGTTTAAACTTTTTTTGATTAATCCCAAACTTTTGCAATTTCAGCTAAAACTGTAAAGCACAAAAATATCTACAAAACTAATTGTATTGCCTAACTATCTACTCTCTGATCTATAAAAAAGTAGAAACCAGGGAAAAGACTGAATGGGCATAAAATTCTCTGAACACATATTTTTGCACATCTTTTTTTCTAATGAAGCTGACTGGAGTTAGTAATACAGAGTTAGTAAAAGAACAGTAACTTTATGGTTAGCATGCTTACTGCAGAGCAGTCCAGGTTGCTGTAATCTAACCCAGGGGTGCATTTCTGTATTTTACATGAATAGTTTATTGGATTAAATGTGAAGCATGTTCATGTACAGCCAGAGCAATGAAATGATAGAATTGCATTCATGCATGTGAGCTGGCTTTCATCAAATTCATATATTCTTCTGAATTTAGTTGTTGGATTATAGGACTTCCCCTGCACTTGTCTAGCTACCTCTGTAAGTAAAATGTAGATTTTACTTACATACCTGAAACAATACTCCAGGAAGAAGGAAACTATTTTTCTCCCTCTTTTGTAAGTATTGACTCAGAAGAAAGACACCTGAACAGTGAATAAGGTCATATTTTTAGGAAACATATTCCCACAGGGCCAGAAGGTTTTGTTAATACAGAGTACAACTGATTGTTTTGTTAGTGTTCTCAAATTATTGCTGAAATTTTCAAGATAAGGGTTTGCTCAGAGAAACCCTCTACTGGATATTTCAAAAGAAATTGCTTAATTATAATAGCTTTATGCAAGCAAAAGTTCTTCCCTGTTTTTCTCCCAGTCATACTTACAAATCCTAGAGCTAAACACTGGGGTAGCAAGAACGCAGTCTTTAAAATCTGACTAATGATGAAATTACTTTATATGGGCAGTACAGAAGGAAATCCATTAATAATATCATTTTATTGAAATGAATACAGATACATTAAGGTTGTTTTTAAGATTAGCCAAATAAAGTGTTGAGGGTATGAAGGCCTTAAAAAGAAGCAGCAGTAACTCATATGGCAATAAAGCCTATTTTATTATAAATTGGCCTTTGAAAGAAAAACAGCTGCTTTTTAGACAAGCTAATGCATTTTTATGTACTGAGACATATTTGGTTTTTTTCATTAGCAAGTGCTATTTAAAATTCTGCATCCCTACATCACTGCATTCATAAAGGATTAAAAAAATTAAGTTGCAAACATATGGCTAGGAAAAATGTATCTCTTTCTCATGACTCTTTTTTCCATCAAAATGCAGTAACTGGATAGCACCAGCAATGACCCATAAAGTATCTTTCTGAAAAGTGCTAAATCTGTTCTGTTCCATGCAACTAGACAGCAGCACATTTCTATGCAGCTTTACAATAGCTTTATTTGTGCCTGGTGCAGAGTCAAAAACAAACAAAAACCCCTCCACCTTGAAATTCTTGCCAAACCAACTAAAGAAGCATCAAGAGCATCCACAGCTGACTCTGAATTCAATTAGACATCATGTAGGCACAGTTTATTCCATAAGAAATTGAGAAACTGCTTCCTGAAGCCAAAAAAGGTCAAACAGAAAATGAATAAGGCTTCCTGTAGCTTGGAGGTGGAAACAAGTTTATCACACATGCATTCTGCATGGTCTGCCCAGATGCTGCTTGTGCTCCCTGGCCCCCTAAGGCAAGCTGCTTGTTGCCTATTAAGTGCATCTCAGCTCCTCCTTGGAGCTCTCCTGACTTGTTATGCTTCACTGCCGGCTCGTTTGCAGTCAGGGCACCAGGTGGCTCCTTCTCCTCTGCAGTGCCAGCTCTGGTTGCTGGGTTGAGAATTAATATCAGCCAAAATTGTTTGCCATATGCTTTAGAGGGAGTAGTGCTAACTATGAGTGTTAAAAAATCATGAGATCATGTCAAAATTATGAGAACTAAACAACAACAACAACAACAAAAAACAAAAACAAAAAACAAAAACAAACAAAAAACCCCAAAAAAACCCAAAACAAACCACATGGGATTTTCTTTATGTTTTAGCGTAAAAAAATAAATAATGTTTTCTGTGGTTTTATCCTCTGCCCTTCAGCTTAGAAAGTGTCCCAGAATAATACCATTGTTCTGGCCAGCCCCAAGAACAGCCATATATCTCAGGAGCTCAGGGATTCACAGGGCTCAGGGCTTTTACAACTGAGACCACCCAGGCCATCCTATCACACCTTGAGATACTTGTGTACAATTAGTATGTGTTGAATTCTAAATCACTCTAACAACTCTTGATGCACTCACTATATCTGTAATTGAAAAGCCTTTTCCCCCTCTGAATACCAGTGACACGATTGATATTCTGCCTTTCTGAATAAAGCCTGCCTTGTATTTCTTCACCTATAACCAAAAAATCTAACCAGACATCCCTGACCAAATATCTCTGCCCTACTGGGCCAAAACTGTCTTCAAGTTCTCATATATGCCAGAACTTCTAAAATTAAGATGCTGCCAAATTCCAATTTCTTTCTCAACTTCTTGTGAGCAATCTTGGTTCTCCGGAAGTCAATGAGATTTTTCCCCAAGGATTAAATGTAGTCATAATTTCACACAGTAATGACATGAAGCAGAAAGCATGCAGCTTAGCAGATGTTTAGTGAAGCAACTGAAAGAAGAAAAGGCAATCCTATTTTATATTTTTCAGTAATGTCAAGGTAAAAAGTGAAATGAGAGCCACTAAGGCAGAATAAAACTCATGAGAAGGAGATATTAGTTTCACAAGAACGCTTTTCTGAGCACAACTGACTAATCGATGGTAATATACCCTCCTATATGCAAATGCGTCTCCAAGTATATTGCAAATGCACACAGCATTACAGATTTTCTTTACTGACAGCAAATTAACAAAGTACCTTCCTGAAATGAACATAAAGGGACTACCCCAGGGCGTTTCAGTATGCCAAACATTTTACATATAGGAACTGTACACTATGATGACACACATAGCAAGGACTTGTTCACCACAATGTTAACTTCCATTTAACTTGCTCATGACCAACACAAACCATACAGTTTCTGTGTATTTAGCACTGTGCAGTTGTGAGACAGCAGAAAAAAGTTCACACTATGAAACATGTATGACAGACAACTCATTTTTATTTCTTAAACAAATAGATGCTTTGTAATACTGCATTTTTTAATAGTTGCAAGCCATTTCATTATATCAGTCTGTCGAAGATACAGGATCAAAGCATACATAATTGAAGACAAAGGAACCTGAGAACACACTTGACAGAATTAACAGGTAAATGAAATCAGTAAATGCAACTGCCACATCCCATCATTTGACGTCTGTGTTAACACATCTTCTGAAGTTCCAAGCACACAGCACACACCAGATAGAATATTTTAAACAGCAAGTTTGTTTCAGTAATTCATGTGGATAACTAACACTTTATCATAATATATGAAATCCCTTTTAGGTGCTTTATTTTTGCATGCTTGCACCACTCCTTATTGTGTTCCCCTTTTTAACAGAGTCTTTATTTGTTTTATAGATCAAAGTAGATAAATTCAATACAAAGCTATGCAGCACGAGCAGCACCTGTTTCTGCTACCCACACACACCCTTTCACTCATTCCCCTGTCTGACCTCTCTCTGCAGGTGACTATGAGGGAACAGCTAGCTCTCTGTGAGACCTGAATGGGACATACACATGGGCAGATACAGCAAATACTTTAATGTTTATTAATCTAAAAAGGAGAAAAGATTACAAAAATATAAGGAGTAGAAAACCTTAGACAAATTTAAATACATACAATCTTTAGGCAAAGTTTGTTTTGGTCAGGCAGAATTTTAGTTTATCAAATGTCAATCCAAAACAACAGGGGTATAAACTAAACAAAATATCATAGTAAATTTATACTAAAAGGTGCCAATTACCCTTCTTTCCTAAGGCCACTGTACCACAGTAAATACTCTCATTCAGTGCATTACGGCATCCTCATTTCAGAGCAGTTTCACTCATGTGCTGCTGATACTACAAAAATAACTATTTAAATTTGTTATTTATAAATGAATGCAAATTTTTAGGTGTAGTTTTGATCACCATAATTTTGTTTTTTATTAAACTGTTCTTCAGTAATTTCACTGATTTCACAAACCTGTGAAATCAAACAGAAAAACACAGAAGTTAGGGCACAAATGTAATGTACACAAAAATGGAGGAAAAGGGAAAATTAATCCCTCACCATGTTTTCATTTTGTAAGAGTTTTCTATTATGCTGAATTCACAGTTAAAAAGTAACATGGACTAGTATGTTGGTGAATCTCAATTCTTTTTTTTTTTTTTTAAATACTCAGAAGCAAACAACAGTGTCCTTAGTTACACTATTTGTTCAAATTATTCAGTGTTTTCAAGGGTTTTTTTCTGCTACTTCATTTTCAATAGTGGTAATAGGTTGCAAAAAATAGCCTGTGTTTCAAAAAAACATTGAACATAATATGCATCTGTGATTAATCAGATAAGCTGAGATAGCAATGTTTTAATTTCTGGTTGTGTTCAGGTTGAGAACCTTCCGCGAAGGAAATGGAAATTTAGCTTTTGAAAATATTTACTGATGCATATTGCAATGGACTGTTTTGCAAGTGTTGTTGACTGGAACACAACCTGCCCTCTCCATTTTTTGTATAAGATATATAATGCTGTAACTGGACCTATTACATAGATCCAGTTAGAGAACCAAGGTTATAAACTGGAAATAAACACCATAAACTCATTTAATTGTACTGCTGAATAACTGAATAATTGTACTGGTGCATAAAGGTCTGTGTGTTACCTGAGAACCCTTCACCTTGCTTTTTTAAACACCGAAGGAAATCAGGCACAGCAGTTTCACTCCTTTTGAACATTTAAATATGCAAGCCCTTTCTGGGAGATTTAAGAAACTTGGCATGAACAAACTCTTTCCATTATCTCCAGCTAATTAATTAAATACAACTGGAGTAATTTTCATTTTGTCAGGTGATAAGCCTGGACTTTTTATGTGATTCTGTACTGATAATCAACAAAGCAAGGCACATACCATGAAAACCTCTGCAACAACAAAAACAAATGAACCAACCAAACAAACAAAACACAAGACATAAAGCCTAGGAAACCTTAGCAACAGTTTTTACCCTTTATTACCTTTATATGGCTGGGAGCTTTTTGTCATTTATACCTAATGTCCAGTTGTTTTCCTTGGAGGTGCTTATTTTAGCAGATATTCAAGCTCTATCACAGTTTGATCTATAAGTTACGGTTTTGTCTTAGGATGGGATAAAGAAAAGCAAATATGTATAAGCCTGTTTCACCTGCAGATTCCTGTGACTGTTACCCACAGAAAACCCAGCGACTGGTCTTAACTGGAGAAGTTAAGAAGAGGTTAAGACATGTTAATGGCTTTGAGTTCATTGCATCCCTTAATTTTTGCTTATAACACCTGAAGCTCCTGGTTGCTAGGACAGAGCATATGATTTCCTTTGTCACAGTTTGATGAGCTGAATCTTTTTTACTTAAACATCTATCTACAGGTATCATGTTATCTCTAAAGTTCCTGGTTCAGTGCATTTATGTGAGTGAGGCAAATTCCTAACAGGGTTTCCCAAACCTTAGTCATTTTTAATCATGAAATCCCTTGAGTAATCCCAATCTATCTTAATGCAAAGACACCTAACCCACGGGTTTTTTAACTGATATTATGTGGAATAATTAATTTGCTGCTTAACTTCTAAGGCATTCAAGAAATGGTCTAGCCTTCACTGTGACAGCATTATGCTGAGAGCTCACACTGAGATGATCTTCTATGACCATCCTAAATCCATTAGGTCACTGCTTTCCAGGACAAAGCCTCATTATTCTGCAGCAGAGACAGATATGATCCTCTGGTGCCAGATATATTTCATTTGGTTTAAATATACTTCATCTGGTTATAATAAAGTGCATTTTACTGGAATGTGGCCATTATACCAGGGGATTCATATCATTTAATAACTTCAACTTGTTCTTCCCACCCATTATCCAAACCTATCAGACCCTAATGAGCCCCATTCATCTACATCATCCCATTAGAAACTCTAGTTTTTGATTCCTCATTGAGCCAGCTTTTAATTTACCTAATGTGTGTCCTGATAATTCTCTAGGCCATTTTTTAAATTATAGTGTCATTTTTTATTACATTAAATGCCATTTGGAATCCAAGTTTAGCATAATAAGGCAAGCTGTAGAAAAAGATATCTGTAGGTTTGGAAGCTTTACTGAAAAGAGCTTTCTGCATAAAACAGGTGTTGAATTTTTATTTTTTACTCACTGCAATGGAAAATTCCCTTCTCATACTAAATATTTAGTCCAATGTGAACTTTTCCAAAGTTAAACAAAATATTAGTCAGTATAAATAAAGCAATGTGCCTTAAAACCTTAATAATATAAGATGATAACAGCAGCTTTGGATTTAAGCACATCCATTCAAAAAATAGGAAACCTGAGTCTAACTTCAACTTTCCCTAATTTCATTTGAACTCACCATTCACTGTCCAACTTCTACCAGAAGTCAGATGACTTCTGGTAGAAATAATGTCAATCTCTACATTTGTTTCACCATCAATAAATAATTAAACCCAAGTGAGCAGATTTCCATGCTAGAAAATTATTTTCATCTACTTTCAGACTCAAAAAGTAGTTATATGAAGTGATACATCTTTAGCTATGAGTGCCACAAGACATCCAGCCAAGAGCATCCAATACGCCTGGAGAAATTCTATTTACAGGAGCACAATCCTTTCTGGTATCCTATTTCTGATGTGGACATATAACTGTCTCAAGCTAAATATGTAGCCAAGCCAATGGCAGACAGAATGAGAGACAACATATTTGCTTTAATATACATAAGTGTATACTGGAGAAATTTAGAAAATAACTCGTATCCCAAGCAGACAAAAGCTTTATGACACCCTTTGGAAAGGGGATATATGATTTTTTTTACTGCAGTTTGTATTGCTTTTGAAATATTAAATGAAAGAAAGACACCAATATGTTTCTCCAGAATATTCATGAATCAGCATAAAAGTTCACTTTTGGGACTGATTCACTTGTGAGACAAAAAAAAAAAAAAAAAAAAAAAAAAAGTGTATGTTTATAGTGAATTTATTATCTACTGAGAAAAACTGCCAACTACAACAATTATGTTCTTACAAACCAGATATATAATTGACTAACATTTGAGTGATGCCTCATAAGCACGTTACTCTCTAGAGAAACCACATCTAGCCTTGCCCTAAACTTATACCCACTGAGACATTTCCAATACAGCTATGCTCTATCAGAGCAGAGCACAAATACAACCAGCCGATTTTGAATGACAGAAATGGAATGTGTTTGTGTAGATGTAATAAAGTTTGCAATCAACAGCTGCTGCTCTAACCCAAATTTTGTCATTCTTACTCATATTGAGTAGCACCTGGCCCTAGCAAAAGCAAACTTTCACAGGAAAAACATATTCCAGCAGTAGAGCCCTCCCTATTGTTAACTCTGGCCAAGTAATCTTCCAAATCTCAGGAACACTTATTTGTATAATTAGGATAAATTGACTGTTTTGGCATGTGAATTTACTCAGTGCAAGGAACTTTACCCATGCACAAATGGGTATTAGAGAATTTGGGTATGGATTGGAATTTTACTAGAACACAGTCTGAATTTCTAAAGTCTACAAAAAATAACCCAAATCTTTCATTCTTCTGGGTTTTCTCCTAGGCAGACAAGTGTGCAAATAGCAAAATGAAGGTTTTCTTCAACAACTGTTGAAGTCATTAGCAGAGTGTCTTTGACTGCAGAATTTCAAGACCAGTGCAAGAATGAATGGTGTAGAAATCCCACTTCTTCCCAATGACCATTTGATTTATCAGCAGTAGACATTTCACTGTCAACCTTAGCAAAGAGTTTGCAGATTAAGAGTAGCAAAATATTTAAATTTCCTCCCACAGGTAAGAGGGGAAGAGTTCAAGACTTGCCTTGGATCAACTGAGCTAGAAATGACCATCTAGTGCTCCTTTTGGCAAGATGGAATGAAGCGATACTAAACACACAACTTCATGTGCCACTGACTACAGAAACTGGCATGCCTTAAGCAGATTAGCACAAAGGAATGTTTTTACACAGATGATCCTTAAGGGTGCCTTCCAGTCCTTAATGTTCTGTGGGTATATTTAGTATAGATTAACCAAATAGCAAGCTTTTCAAGAGTCTACTTCATTCACCTGTCATGTACATCTGCTAGGAGGACTGAATGAAGGTAGGGACCCTTTATGTCCAAGGCTGTGAGACCTGGGGAAATCTGATGTGCTTCTTGAGTTTGGTACCCAAAAAAGCAGATTTAGTCTTTTGGGCAGTAAATCCTTGCCAAGACTACAGCTGGCAGGTCAAATTATACCAAAAGCCCTGTCTTTGTCTTTTCAAGGTTCTTGAAAGCTATTGATACTTTAAAAATTTCCAATCTTTAATCTTTGTAGGACTTGTTCTCAAGGGAAAAGTCAAGCAGACTCTTGTCAGTCCCCTGGAAGGATGAATTTCTTCTCATAAAATCTGTCTAAAAATGTTCTGATGGCAGTGGATGCAGTTCTTCTATTTCTGTGCATCAGTACCCCATAAAAAAGAAAATCTATTCTTGCCAGCTGAAAGAACTTTCATCAAACTGAAGGATTATGCAAGTAGTAAATATTTTTTCCAGATCCCTCCTTTTTCCAAGAATTATCTCTATGCATTCTCTGAAAACTCTTTGCAGAGAATCAGCACACAAGCAAACTACTGCAGATAATAATGGGGAACTGTCTCCAGGATCACAGAGGAAGAACACACATGAGGTTGTCTAGAGACATTTTTAGTCACTCTAAAAGAATGTCACAGGTCCTTGATTTTGTATCATATTGCCTTGACAATTTTCATCTTTCATTGTGTAGAGAATTTCAAAGAAGAATACAATTTGCAAAGAGAAGAGATTTTGTTTCTAAATTATAATAGGTCTTAAAATGCATGTTTTAATTCCCTTTTTTAATAACAAAATGTACATTACGAGAGCAAATAATTATACACTATCTCTTTCTCCGACTTATGGCCACACACTTAATTAAGTGCACAAAGAGGAAAAGTAAAGGGTATGCTAAAAAAATCAATAAAGCTTCTTAAAAATGTTTTTCTTTCCTTCTTTACCATAACAAATCTTTTAAGCTAGAATAATTTAAACTTTTACGTGAGTAGCTATTTGATTTAAAATGTTGTCATAATTAGTCTGAAGGTTTAACAATTACTGACTTCCAGTTATCATTGAAACTTGCTGCTAAGGTTAAATTTTTAAAATGCTGTCAGAGAGCCTGGAGAATTTAAAACATAAAGTCTGATTTACAAGAATGGAGAACCAAGATCTCATTTCCATAAGACAAGATATGCACTGTTGCATCTGTTTTGCAAATGACGTTTCTTGAGAGATGTTGAGATTCCAAAGTGACCCAGTTCTGTTCAGTTATCACTTACTTTGAAAATAGCCTCCCCAAACTCTTACATATGAATACCTTTGAAACTGTTCCCCCATTATTTTTTTCATTCTTTTTCTTTTAAAACTCTAAACTCAGATGATATTATTTTTAAAGAACTCAAGGTGACTGACACAGTTTCTCTTTCTGCATTGTTTTCCCACTACCAAAAATAGCTTTGCACCTGGCTGCTATTATCTCAAAGTAGTCAAAGAATGTGGTAAACATTATCCACATGTAATTTATCAAAAGCTGAATCAAAGAACAGGTGTTACTATTGTAAAGATTAATTTTGCAGCTCTTCTGCTCAAACTCACAAATTATGGACTCCTGGGCCTTCTCAATACTAAATCACTCAAAAAATACCCAAACAGATTTATTACTTTGGGGTGAGAAATGATGTGTAATCTTGCCAGCTGGTCTACCTACAAGCAGTGGCATCAGCAAGTGTGCCAAAGCCCCTTGCTGACTGCACTTTACAACCAGGAATTGGCAGCTTCTCTTTGTCAGCACTGGCAGTTCTGCACTTTCTTGACAATGTCACTATCACAAAAAACTCAGACAAGGATGTTACCACTGTTAGTTACTTTTAATAAAATTTTTCACTATTAGAGTTCAGTTACAGGAAATATTACTTTAATAAAACATTTTTGTTCCATCCATTTAGTTATAGTAGTAGAAACTGTGATAGAGGGTGCACCAGCTAACTACACTGAGGTCAGCATGGGTTCACAAAGGGAAAGTCCTGTTTAACTGACTTGACAGCTTTCTATGGTAAGGTCACCCACCCAGGGGATGAAGGGAAGTTGGTGGACATGGTTTTTCTGGATGTGAGTAATATTTTTGATACTGTCCCTCACAGCATCCTTCAGGACAACTTGTCCAGCTGTGGGATGAGTGGCAGCAGGCTGTGCTGGCTGAAGGGCAGAGCTCAAAGGGGGTCACTGGTCACCAGCAGTGTTCCCCAGGGGTCAATTCTAGGGCCAGTTCTGGTCAATACATTTACCAACAACCTGCAGGCAGGAGCTGAATCCACCATTGGCACGTTTGCTGATGATCCCAAACTGGGAGGTGCTGCTGACTCCTTAAAAGGACAAAAGGCTCTGCAGATGGATCTCCACAGACTGGAACACTGGACAGTGATTGATGGCATGAAGTTTAACAAATCAAAATACCAGATTCTGCAGCTGGGACAGACTAGCATCAAGCAAAATATAAACTGGGAGAGGAGTGGCTGGAGAGCCTCTCTGCAGAAATGGATCTGGGGCTGCTGGCTGGCAGCAGGCACAGCAAGAATCAGCAGGGTGTCCTGGAAGCCATAGGACAAATCCCATCCTGGGGTGCATCAAATACAGAATCACCAGCTGCTCAAGAAAGGTGATTACCCCACTGTGTAAAGCACTGGTGCAGCCTCACCTGGAGCACTGTGGGCAGTTCTGGCCACCACAATTTAAGAAGGGTGTGAGGGTCCTTCAGTGGGTCCAGATAAGGGCAACAAATCTGGTGAGAGGGCTGGAAGGCATGACCTGTGAGGGGCAGCTAAGGATTTTGGGCTTGTCTAGTTTGGAGAAAATGAAGCTGAGGATTGACGTCACAGCTTCCTGAGAAGGGCATGTGGAGAGAGGCACTGATCTCTTCTCCCTGGTATTCAGTGACCGAACACATAGCAATGGCTCAATGCTGTGACAGGAGAGATTCAGGCTGATATCAGGAAGCATTCCTTTACTGAGAGGGAGAAAGACTGAACAGGCTTTTGAGGGAGATGGTCAATAGCTCAAGCATGCCACTGCTCAAGAGGCATTTGGACATCGACCTTGACAACACGCTTCTAATTTTTAACTCATCACTTTGTTTTTTTGGGAAGTGACAATGACCTACTAATCATTGGAATATTCGAGTATTATAGCATTCTTGGAGTATTATAGCACAGGATTTTGGGTGCTCACAAGTCCTCACATACAATTCAAGTACAGCACCTATACAAAACCATGGTGTGCATCCGATATGTCCTGGAGCATCAGTCTCCCTTGTCACATAATTAGCATCAGTCTGTGTATGCACAGCCAATCCTACCAATGTTTGTGGGACTGCAAATTCATTACAGAAAATACTGAGGAAAAAATGCACACATGAAAGACAGGTCCCAGAGCCTCTCTTGAGCCACCCAAGGTGAGTTTCAATTCAAAGGTAACTGAAATGCTCTGGTGCAAGTCAAATTGGACTTACTGGCCTTGGACTAAAATCAGCTGGATGCACAGAATCTCATTGTAACATTTTACTAGTGTTCAAAAAGACCTGGCACATGGTCTTTAGGATCTCACTGTGTAAATTTAAATTTTAGTCAAACTCTGGGCTATGTACAAAATTGTGAAACTAATGTATGAGTAAAAACCAACTTTTTAAAGTGGCATAATTTTAAAAAATCTGTTTATCTGGACTGTTTCTTATGAATCCTTAATCCATTACAGAACTTTTCCCTTCTGTAAAGAAAACATCTTTTTCATATGTTAACTCTTCATGTTTAAACCAGTATTGAGTTTTCTAAACATGCTGATCAAATAATCTATTTTAATGATTCAAATGATTTAATGATTTTTTAAAAAATAAAATATGTTAGGAAGCAGTTTGCATATTCACCCTTGCAGATCACAAAACTACTGTGAATCAAAAGAGATTATGTGAACTAGTGTGATCATTTACAGGTACCTTGTAGGCAGGGAGAATTTGCTACAATTTGAAAACATTGCAATTTATAGCCTTTTACTTGTTCTGCCATCTAGGCTCTGATCCTGCTGACCCTCACTTCCACAACTGGATAAATACTTCAAAGAGTGTAGGATATTAAGGATTACTGGTATGATTAAGAACTTTTTTATTAATACAGATGAATTAAATAGAATGTAAGGAAAATGGATGCAATGGAGTGACAGACCTAAGGAGGGAGGCTCTACTTTTTATACGTGGACTTTTTTACTTTGCTATTTTTTTTGCTGGTGAATACAGACTTATGAAAGATACTATCTACTTCAAGTTCAGATTATCTATTTCAGGTTCATGTTATTTTCTGGAATAGCTACTTTAACACATCAGGACAAATTGTTTCACTTAGCTTAAGTAAACAGTGTTCTGTGATCATTTTGTCATTGTTCAGTGACTACATGAAAGCTTCTGCAAATCAATCCTATAAGGTTCAGTCCTCAGACAAATAAGCAATTGGTACTTATGAGAAAAGCTCCTGTCAGCAGGCATGACAGCTCCACAGAATCTGAAGATATGGAAAACAGAAGTAAAGTTGAGGGATTTTGACATATTATCTGGTCCTTACACATGTACTTACATTTGTCTTGGTCAGCTTCCACTCCTTCACTTTCTGTGTCACTCGGCAATATCCAAGGTTGATGAGCAAGTTGAAGCTGTTGTAAGAATTCATCCTGCCACAAACAGATCTATTTTAGATAAAATGGCAGACAATTGTTCTGTAAAAATGAAGACTGCAGTAAAAAACTAGCCTCAATTAACTAGAGAGGATAAAGCCTTTAAAAACAAAAAAACCCAACTTGATGTGAAATAAAACCAAAGTGTAGAGGATATGCAGGCTCCTTGAAAAATTTTTTAATCTATTCAGTAAAACAACAACAACAACAACAAAACCAAAAACACACAAAAAAACCAACCAAAAAAAACATCAAAAAACACCAAAACCAAACAAAAAATCCCCAAAAATCAGCCAAAAAAAATCCACAAAAAACCCAAAACCCAAAACAAAACCAAAAGCAAACAAACAAACCAATCAAAGAAACAACAAAACAAAAATCAAACCCAAACACACCAAAATGAACGGGTCTATTTAACTACCTCTCTACTACAAATACAGATATGTAAGGTCATCTTGGAAATGCAGTGATAGGACAAAATTGCATATATTACATCTGACCTTGCAGTTTTTGGAACTGCATAGACATTTCAAATGCAATTTGCTTAAGTGAGGCTTTGATCTGTCAAAAATTTCACTGTTTCTAGTCTAATAAGTACAAGAACCTGAAACCTGATTAGAACCTATGGTTTTGCTGCATAAGGAGAAGATTTAGGAAGGAAAAACTTTATGAAAACTTTTGTATCTAAGATACCATTAAAACAACAAAATATAAATGTTTTGCGTGGTTAAAAATCCATATTCAGCTGAATATATGCTTTTGAAAATGTTTTAAAATTGCCTACTTTTTAATATAATGTATACATGTATGCATATAAGAAAATTTTTCTATGCAGGCACATACATATGTATGTGAATAGGTATACACATAGACACATAAAATACTTTAACTCATTCCTTTGCAATATTCACAGGGAGACATGAGAATGGAATGCACAGTTTTATTTTCAAAGGCAGTTCAAACATGCAAGTTTAGTCTCTAAAAGAAAACCTTAACCTTGACCAGATAGCATAAAATTACTGGCCAGATTTTTATAAGTTCTTGAAAAGAAAGGGGGGTAATAACCCTGTTTTGTGTTACATCAGCTGAAATGAGAATCTACAAATTTAAAGTTAAATTGTATTACAACATAAATTTTATTCTTAGGATATCTGATTTAAATATAGAATCCAGGCTTTTTAAAATAAGTTTTGGGAGACTGAAGGCTGCCCAATTAAGATCTAACTCATTGGGAGTAAATTATTAATTCTGTCAGTAATGTGTTAAAAATTCCACAAAGACTGCTGCTATGGGCCAGCAGTAAACTCAGGCAGGAGCTCCAGGCCTTACTCAGGTATTGCCATTTCCAATGTGCTGTGCTGGAGAAGGTTGCTGACTACAACACTGAACATGTTTTGGTTCAAGGAACAAGATTCTTAGAGTAGGCATGTGTGACTCTCACACTGATCCACAGACTTTTGAATCTTCCAAAAATACAGAGCAAAAATCTGAGACAAGCAGTGGAACAGAATGGGAGTATCTGACTACTCCCCATCACAAGTTATGCTCTATATTCCAGTAAATAGGAGTAAAAATTTTGTTAATCAAGGCTATATTCAAATAAGACAGTTTCCTGCTCTCAACAATGACAGACTAATAAGAATTGCTGAATACACTTTCAAGTATCTGAATAAATGAAATGGTTGCAAAATTTCATGTGTTCAGAAAATGATATGGCAAACAAGGGAATCAGGGGTATTTTCATCTCAAGAGCTATTGAAAAGTATCACAGAATTGTGTCACTTTAATGGAATCCATCCTAAAGAGATAAGCAGGGTTCAACATTCCTTTGCCAATTTATACAAAACACCAAAGGATTAGGAACATGCATGAAAGTATCTCTGCCAAAGGATTTGGAACCCTGATTTATTACCTTTATAGAGATAATAAAACTATTTCTCTAGGTAGCATTTCTTTGCTATAATTCAATTCAGCCTTGAACAGAGATGATAATAAAACACACCTGTTAGAACTTAGGAATATTATGTGTGCCAGGAGGCAGAAACTTGTCCACAAAATCTCAGATCATTATAAGTCTTGAGCATTAAAAAACCCCAAAACAGCTGATAAGTTAAATACTTGCCAAATTATTTAAGATTTGTGCTATAACAAGATTGAACCACCCATGCTGCAGCATGAACATTACTAAAGCTTAAGAACTTTGAATTGTATTTATTAGTAATATTTTTCTATTTAGACTTATGTTACTCTGAAACACATTACAATCTAGGAAGCATACATAAGACATTGAGAGATATGTTAAAAATCCCAACAAATAAGCAAGTAAATAGATAAGTAAATCAAGCTCCTTAGGGTAAAACATGCTCCTGGCACCCAGTAGTCACATTCTTTTAACTGACTTATTCTCGTCAACTATATATCAACATTCTACTGATTAATTCCATTAATATCACCTAAAAGTAAGGAAGCAGAGTTATTTGCAAAATCTTATCATAGTATCTTCTATAGGATTGGCAATATAACCATAGTGTATTTACACCCAGTAGAAATTCCCAGTTGAAACCATTAGGCTAATAAGAATAAAGGCAATTTCCCCTCTTTTATTTTACGGGTTTTATACAGGAAGAGGATACAAAACCTACAATAAAAGTCGCAAAACAAATTACAGTATCAGCCTTGAGTTTTATATGTTTGTGATCTGTAAAAGTACAGACAGGGTTCTTGTTCTTCTACCCCAAACCACTTCTACCTTTTTAAAATATATCTCCAAGGTAAGAGACAAGTTGTGACACAAGAAAATGAAATAATATGGCCACAAACAGGAGGAAATGTCTAACATGGCAAAAATTGTCACAGAACAGACGTATTTCCTGGGTATGTTCTGTCTAAATCCACTTCTCTAAGTGACCAGGAACTTAAGTGGGCAAAAGACAGCTTGAAAGCTTCTAGTATAACACCCCAAAAATGAGGCTGGGAGTGGCATATTGGCCAGATCTCCATCAGCTACCCATGGGCTTTCACAACCTGGCAAAGAAAGGTCTTCAGTATGAACATGTCATACCAGCAGCTTTCCCTTTGGAAGTATAGCTAGTCCCAAGTTGAGTTGCCATTATGTCAGAGGTCACTTGTGCATGTCAGAAGGATAAATAGGGTCTGAGCTGGGTCACTAGCAGCCAAGGTACTATTGTATCCAGCGAGCAAAAAGAAAAAAAGATAATTTGTCACTTCTAGAAGGGATTTTAACAGAGGATAAGATCCTGAATAGAAATGCTGACGTTTAACATCAGCTTTACAGTGGATTGCTGGCTGAATCTGGACATGCTATTCTAACAGGAAAATAGCATTATAATATTGCTCACTTCTTAAAATTCTTGAGACAAATATATACATATATTAAAAGTGTAACAGGAGACACTTGCTGTGAGAGCTATCAGCAAACGGAAGTAACAAGACACAGCAAATTAAATGGGACTCTTGCTTATTATTACCATAACTACAGAAAGGCTCTGGAAGAAAGAATTTTTAATTGTCTGCCTTTTTACAGGAAAGATCAAAAGTGATGGGCAGATTGGCTATCTCTCACACATTACATACACATAGTTTCAATTGGAGTATATACAATAATTTTACTTGGCATCACATGACTGTGTATCAGTTAAGAAGACTGCCTAAAAAAGAAGAAAAAGAGGAATGAAGAATTTAGTTGGAGACAACAAAACCCTTAATTCCTTCTGAACATTTTTTAGATAAAAATGAATTTCAATTCTCATTTTCTGGTATGAGAGAAAATTCTAACACACAAACATATCCCATACTTCAAAAGAGGACACCAAGTGATTTTTTTTGTTAAAAAAGTGTTACAATTACATTTTTTTTTTCCATAGGAAATGTGGTTTGAAAATATATCAACTGGCAGTGAAGACACTTTCAGGAGAACTGCAGTCACCTTCAGTCCTCATGTCTTTAATCTGGATTTTCAATTCTAAGTGAAAGAACAGCTCAAGTGATGGGATTAGTGCACTGCCATTCAAACACCAAAATAATGAGTATTTATTTCACCACCAAATTTAAGTAAGATTTCTTTCACAATTTCTAGAGTAATCTGTGCTTCATTTCCTTTCCTTCACAACAAATGATGGATGTCATTGAATTAATTGAAGGGTTATACTAATAATCTCTAATTTTCTTAAAAGCAACCCTAAGCAACACTATCATAAACAACATTTGAACTTTCCTCTAGAAGTCATGAGACCACTAAAACATTGTGTGAAGTGTCACACCCAACAGATTATTAAAACAGATGATATTCCTCAGAAACAATCTAAAGGTATGATATTATTTTCAGTCTTGGAAAAACGGTCTCCAGGTTTTGAGAAATGGATTACAAAGAGATTGGTAATAATGGTGGGGACCAACATATTTCACCACTAAAAAATTAGCAGTCTAGACACATAGTTCCTTCTCAAGTCAGTACAGAAGGACTGGCATATCCTGAGAAAAGACTCACCTTTGTAAGGCATGTATAGAGAAAGACAGCAGGGGTTTTCTTTCACAGGTGCTTTTATTTCCACACTGAAGTTATCTTTAAGGCAGCTAAGGTTAGCAGAGGAGAATCCTACTCAGAATTTATAAGGTACTTTAACTTTTTCTTTTGTTTTGTTTTAAACAAAGACTAGTCCTGTAAAAGCCAATAATACATGACAGGAAATTTTTATGCTGTAAATTAGCCTAGTTACCATGCATATAGTTTTAGACAGTGATTCAACAATGTTGGACATTTTCTCTTGCAGTTCAGTTTGGTGTTTTGGAAAAACCTGTCCTTTCAGTTATGTTTAGCTAATCATTCCAATTGCCCAGAAATATGAAATAAAAAGTAGATTAAGAAAATATCATGCACTGCCAGCCCAGTAGGAAAAATAAATACCATGGAACATAAAGATTAGATAAAGTTTTGTTTAATATTCCAGAGATATGCACCTGTTAGAACCTGCAATGCTAATAAAACTGCTATGCACTGTACAGGTAAAGCCCTACTGAGCTCATGGTAAATTTGGGGTACAGAAGTGTTTCCGTATTATTTCTGTAATAATACTGACAGTCTCTAATGAGTACCTCTCAAAGCTGAGCAGTATTTCCTTGCTAATTTTCTCATCATTATATTTCAAGGTCTTTTAAGCACAGTAGGTTACATTAGGTATACAGATGTTACTTGAACATAAAATGCAGTCAAGTCTTGGCATTACTAAACATAGCAAAAAACATTAAATTGAAAATCTTACTTCTGATAAACTGTTTCTCTGAGTAGTGACAGTTCCAACAACATCTCCACTCACTTGCACAGAAAGCCCTGAAGCAGCACTGAGGGTCCTCCCCATTTGGCTCTTAGATGACAAAGATCTGCTTCTTTGCATGCTAATAATGCCTTCCCTATTTCCTTGGTTGCTAGGGGTAAGAGGCCGTGACAACAAGGTATTTGGGGTCATAGGTCTGCTCCCTGGAGCTGATGGCCTGTTGGTTTGTGCACTGCTGCTTGTGCCACTAGAGATCTGTGTTCTGCTGTTAGTGGGCAGCGGGGGTGATTTGCTTCCTTGGAGCTGAATGTTCTTCCGTGTCGGAGTTGGCACCTGAGGCCTTGGGGTTTGGCCCTGTGCAGCTTGAAGATTGTCAGAGGTAACTACACTGGGATGCTGGACACCAGGGCTTCTCGAGAGCCGTGCTTCTTCCCACAGTGCGAGGTCCTTCTCAATGTCTGTGCACACACACATGAACAAATGGAAAAGAAAGAATCTCACTGTCTGTTTCTCTCTGGTTTAAAACTCCCAATGATTTTCTCCAATGTAAGTGAAAACCTGAAGCTGTGCAGAGAAAATCTATTAATGTTTAAAATAAAAGGCATCAGAATTAACAGCGCAAATGTTTGCAAAGCATTTCCTTAAAGTTTATTTACATTTGATTCACTGCAAACACAGCTATCCTGAAGAAATGAAATATTATCTCTTCATTGAATGTCAACACAATCTATAAAAATTCTTCGTTTCAACAAAATTATGTCTCTGTAGCTTTTGCACAGTTACTGGAAAATCAAGATTAGTAGCAAACCAAGATAGACCAGTGATATAAACCTGCCATCCTCAGCTGCAACCCAAAACTGGCTCAAGGCAAAACTTTTGCTTCTGGCCCTGCTGTCTACTGCCCAACCAAGACTCTGAGGAAAGTAACTATTGAAGTCTGGTGTTACAGTGAGCTCATGGGCATTCTATTTCCCCTTCCCCAGGACCTTGTGACTCTGATCAAGATAACCCCTGGACCCTCCTTTCTACCCCTACGGGGTTGGTGGAGAGCCAGGAAAGCCCACCCTGTCCAAAACCTATATAGACCCCTGACATGTCCTGTTCGTTCTTTTTTGCCCCGCTCTCCACATGGACCACACAGAATAAAGAGAGCTGTACCAACTTCTCCTGGGGTGAAAGCCTCTTTTGAATATCTTTACCCTTCTCCTGATATTCCTCCCCTCACAGCCCCTTATCTCTGAGCTAGTCGGATTGTTCGGGGGGCTGCGTGAGGGGGGGAACCACAGTCTGGCATGCCTGGATGAGTGAGCCTGTTTGAACCTGAATATCATGCTCTGGCCTGCCATGAGTGCTGCAGCAGGTGATGGGGTCACCAATATCGAGTCCAAGGAGAAAAGGCGGCCCAATGTCTAACTCACACACAACCATAAGAAATAAGATCTGTTTTAACACCACAAAAGATTAAGGACAGTGAATGAAAAGTGTCTCCTGAAATAATTTAAATCATATTAATGCTTCTAATGAATTAAATCAGAATACAATCATCAAAGTCAGGTGAAGGTAGCTGGAATTTAGGTTAGCATTAATAACATATTGAAAGTCCTTGCAAGTACAAATGCAGAGCTTAAGAAACTGTTTAATCAAGTTTATTTTATCTTACACTACTGTTAATGAGTTTTTCACTGGCATGTACTCTTCTGTACTTTATTTTCATAGAGACAGCTGATTATCTTTAAAACAGCAATGCCATTTCCCAAGTTCCAGTCCCAGAAGCTGTAAAGAATCAAGGCTCTTAAACACCCATTAAGTCAACTTGTCTAAAATAAGCATTTCATTTATTTTAATAAAAATTATTTCAGGTTCTAAATGTCCTAAAAGAAACAGATTCTAAACCGCATATTGGAAAATGAAATTTTTTTTCACTTGTGTTTACCAGTTGGTATAAAAGGAATGTTGTATGTTAAATAATTATTTTAAATAATTAAAGATCAACAACATCTTGAACATATAACATTTTGAAAACAGGAAAATAAGCCATGCCAATTTCATGTTACTAGTCTAACACAACATATTGCACACAATTCAAATACCTTTTCTAGAAAAGCTAATAAAACTGAAATAGTTGTGAAAGCCTAAAAGTGTCTCTCAACTTTTTAAAGATTAAATATTTTTCTGTTAGCAAATTTAAAAACATAGTCAATATTTCTAACACATACTTACAAATATTTCTAATTGAACCTTTAAAATTAATTATTTCTCTTTTGAAATTATTACATCTTGAACTACTCTTCCACTATGTTTTCACTTTGGAACTTCATAGAATCAGAGAATGGTTTGGGCTGGAAGAAACCTTAAAGGTCACCTGGTTCCAAAACCCCTGGTTATGGGCAGGAATGCCTTCCACTAAATCATTGCTCAGAGCTCCATCCCTCCTGGCCTTGAGCACTGCGAGGGACAAGACATCCACAGCTTCTCTGGGCAACCTGTTCCAGTGCCTCACCACCCACACAGTCAAGAATTTATTCTCAATATCTAATCTAAATCTCTTCTCTTTTAGTTTAAAGCCTTTATTCCTTGTCCTATCACTACATACCCATATAAAAAGTGTCTCTCCATGTCTCTTGCAGGCCTCTTTAAGCACTGGAAGACCACAATTATCTCTCCCTGTAGCTGTCATTTCTCCAGGCCAAACAACCCCAAGTCTCTCAGGCTGTGAGAGATGTTCCAGCTCTCCGAGCATCTTCGTGGCCTCCTCTGGACCCGCTCAAACAGGTCCACGTCCTGTTTACCTTGAGGGCCTCAGAGCTGAATGCAGCACTCAGGTGGGGTCTCATGACTGTGGAGTAATTAATCACAGAATCTTCTGAATTGGAAGGGAGCCACAAGGATCATCAAATCAAACTCTTCAGTTTGGTCCATACGAGGAGCAGCCCTGTGACCCTGTTGTTATTAGTACCAGGCTCTGAACAACTGATCTGATCTTAGAGGGGGAAGAAGCAGCTCCCTTAACCTGCTCCCTGCTCCTCTTTTGGTGAAAAAAGCATAAGATGCCTGGCAAAAAATGAGGGGCAATAAATGATACTGTGGCCTACTGATTTAAATCAAATGAAGATTATGGTCTTGTAAAGAACCAGCCTAGGAGGCACCGCGACAGTCTATTTCTTTGCAAAATTACAGATATCCAACTTGCCTGTAGGGAATTCAGTATGCTGAGAAATAGTATGAATATTGAATGATTAAGTAGAGTTAAATAAATATTATATGCTGGCTCATGTTTCCTTAATTTCATATAGTAATCAAGTCTGCAGATAAACCAATTATAATAATTTCTCTACACATAATTAACATGTTTCCATAGCATAATTATTCAGTTTTATTTACACATCTTCTGTTTGATTTTGCTTTAATATAAGCTTTTCAGCCAGAAAAAAAAAGTTTCACATTCCCAGCTTTGCAGTATTATCTGATCCATATTAAATAATACAATTAAATTATGATTTAGAATTTTTAAAAATTCTTGTTGATGTAATTTAAAGGAAATTAAAATGCAACAGAACAACACAAAGGCATTTTGCTTTCAAATTAAAAAAATATCCAGAATAAGGATATGATTCATATGCACTTACAAACTGTTTATTTTTTAACAGTCCTTCTTGTGATAAAATATTTTCCAGAAGTATACAAAGACACAAAATCAGTGCAACACACCAAACTGGCAAGATACTGGAATAAACTACCAAAAAACCCCCAAAACTTCTCCATTTGTTTGTGATATAAAGCATATAAAGCAGCCATAATAACATAAGAGACTGGATTTTAGGGAAAAAAAAAAAAAAAGAGCCATATGTAGAGAAGGAAAATCACTCTGATATTGTAAAAAAATCAATCTGATTTTGTAAAACTGCTGCTTTCAAATATCAAGGTACTGAGGCAGTTGCTGGCAATTGGTGCTAGCTCCTAATTTAGGCAAAGGCACAAAATTATGCCTTATGTTAGGAGTGATTTATTCAGTACATAGTCCATAAGGGAAGGCCAGACCCCTTAAGAAGGTGTGAGACAAGGGGCCATATTTCATCATTACACAGGTAATCCAAGTCATAGCTCAGGCATCTAAATTACTGCCTAGATAGGCAGCCATTTCATGGAATTAATAGATTCCATTGCGCTTGCTAAGAGAACTGAAACAAGAGACTTGCTGATATCACAAATACTTGAACTTTTGCAAATGTATAAGACAAATAAGGCTAAGCAAAACCCCAGTACTATTATCCGAAGTACTCTGAACTGATTATTCACAGAAATTATGCTGTTCTTGTCTTTGAAGGGAGTAATTGTCTCAAGCACCACTGGTGTTATAATAGGGCATGAATTATTAGGAATACAGTAGTCCAATGTTTAATAATTGGGCTGTTTTCATGTGAAGTTCTCAGTCACACAAAAATTACTGAATTCTAGAATGGCTGAACCTCATGTAACAACAGCTTTACTGAAATAACAGGTCCAAAGTCAAATGACAGGAACAGCAGTGATGTGAGAGACAAAATCTTGTGGGCCACACAACTGCAGAAGGAATCTCAGAGATTAAGTGAATTTACCTAGTTACTTTACAGTCAATTAAGTATTTAAAATTCCATATTCTATTGAATATTGTAGTTATTACTGTCAGCTTTGCCAAGGAACTGTATTTTTCACAGCATAATACATGTAAGAACAGCTTGTATGACCATGGAAGTGAGACCAGTTAGGACATAAATCAAAGCAGGGAGATAGATCTTCACCAGACTCCTCCTGAGTGATAAGGGAAAACAAGTGGTACCTCAGTAGCAGGGCTCTTGGGGTACACAGGTCCCTGCTATACTACAGAAACCACACATTGGTTTGCTGCTCTCCTGATTCCCACTAGATGTTTCTGGATGTTTCAGTTTAGAGAGAGGGCTCATGGATTTTTCAATCTAGTTTGGCAGTGGCTGCAGCTTAATAGCTGCAAGCTTTATGAACCTATTAAAAAAATTAATTACAGCATATCTACTGTCTGACACAAAACCCACTGAAAAAGTTTCATTTGCATATATCATAATTTTTAGTTCTTGTTCCATTATGAGCAAAACCTATTCCTAAAAATCTTCCCTCAGTGTGCTTATAGCTTTGTCGTCTGCCTTGACCTCAGCTACAACACCCATTTTCTATAGAGGATACAGCTTTCTCAGCATTGTTATTGGCAAGATAAATATCCAAAGTACTTTAAAATACCACACCAAAAGCATTCTCTGCCTCACTCTCTAAATAGCTTAGAAGAATGGTCAAATAAATTTCTTTTCTACCTTCATTTTACATATACAATCTTTACGTTCAGTGAAGCATCACTTTTCATATAATTTGCCTATGAAGCTTTCACCATATGACAAATATTATGCATAACTAGGACTACCACAATATAGATCTATGTCATATCTTTTAATGAAAGCTGAAGATAGAAAACACTGGTTACAAAAAAGATCAAATTGCAAGCTAAATTTTAGGACATTTCTCATTAATTTTTATAAAGCTTGGAAACATCTCTTTACCAAAAACCCCATGATTTTTTTTTTTTACTTCAGAAATGGTTACCCCATCAAAGATGCTGCAGATGTTCCAAGACACAAAACTTAACAGATTTCACTCAGCCAGAATTCTCATGAGCAAGGTGAGTTTTTCCTGCACAGCAATCTCTCCTCCACTTAAAGATCCACTGCACCCTGCTTTAAAGACTATTTAACAGTAAGTAAAACATCAGTACCTCCTTATTGCATAAGTCTGGGTGAAACATGAAAACAAAAAAAAGTTGCATTATTATGCTTTCAGACGACAGTATATTTAACATGGTTTAATTACTGTTTAAGTAGTGTACTTACTGTGATTACAGTGAAGCTCATTATATCTACAAATAAAACATTATTGTGTTTTCTTCAATGAAAAAAAAATTAAAGTTTTCATCGGTATGTGAGTTAGATATTTTTTTCCTTCATTGGAAATATTAGCAGAGCAAGCTGGGTGAGTATTTCTAGGCATTTTATGGTTCCTTGATCCCATACATACCAGCTAGGTGTTTTTCCATGGTCTGAAGTTCTTTTGCTGCTAAGGAGTCCTTTAGGAGTTTCTGCCTTGGGGAACCTCCAGATCTAACAGCCATGGCATCCAAGGTCCAAACCGTCTGAGACTTACACAGATAAAAAGAAAATGGAATGCTTTTATTCCAGTTTCATATTTATATATGAAACAATAAAAAGAGTGGTGTCCCCATCTAGGATCAGGAAGCTGGTGCTATTATGTAGAATATATAAAATTTTATGCAAAATACTACAAAATATCATTTCTTAACATACATAAAATAGTAGGAATTAGTTAAAAGAAGCAGCTCTAAAATAAATCAGATATACACCCTCACATAAACTCTTGCTCTATGGTGAGACATCATAAAAAGACAAATTCCTCAATGATTTACATTCTCTGCAGTTCCAAATATTTAGTAACAGTTGCACTTCTTTTAAATTCCCATAACACTTGGCTCAGCATCTCTGCAAAGCTACACTTCTGGGATTATCATAGAATCTCCTAATCAAAATTTCCAGTACTGTTTTATCACTGTAGGAAGTATTCCTTTCAAAAATGGCAGCTAAATCATCAGGGCAACATAGCAGTTTGAAAGGGTTGTCAGCAAACAGACCATCGCCCCAGTATCTTCTTTATTGAACATTATGGTGTTCAAAATTATTTGCTTTTTCTGGAACTCATTTAATATGGTTTTAGGAATTTTTTGTAAAATATACTATGAGGTAAACTTAATAGATGTGTATGTGAAACATGCAGTAAAACATATGATCAGTTGTGCAAGACTTGCCCATTAAACAAACAAATAAAAACAACAAACAAAACCATAAATTAAATAATTCTTGACAGTCTATCTGAAATAAATTTTACATTGTTACCTAACTAAAATATTTCATCTGTAGATTTGTTAGTTTCCTAAAGAAACAAGGCTTATGGCAATGGTCACATTGTCATTTACCTCTTACTAATTTTTAAATCTTTCATTAAATGCCAAACAAATTTAGAGAGGCCACTGTTTCAAAGACATTAAGCTGAAGTAATTTCAGGAAGAATGATTGGTCAGAGAAGGAAGACCCAAACTGGTGGCCCCATTCACAGAGGGCACACAGGACTCCACCGTCCATCAGGCCGGAGCTGCATCACAGCTGACGCTGGGCTGCTGCAGGTCACTGCCCTGAGTGATGGCACTTCCCTGGCCAGACTCTTGTCCCACTGGGAAAGGTGCAGCATAGCTCAAAGGATGGACATAAAAATATGGGTTTGATATAATCTCTATTCAAAAAAAAAAAAAAAAAAAAAAAAAAAAAAAAAAAAAAAAAAAAGCTTTAAACAGTGTAGCTGCCTTCCCTTTTAGAAAAGTAGGCATAATTCTACAGAAGTAAAAGGTTAATGAGATTGTTTCACTTTCCATGTCCTGGAAATGGAGTTATCTTTCTCTTCTACAACCCTCTGCTGGTTTTTGGTAAATGTTGCCTTTACTGTACTTCTTCCCTTTATGCACAGTAGTAATGTAAGACTCATAAAAATCAGGTAACTGAGTACAGGAAGCTCTCTACTCTTACATATTCAAACTCTCTTTCAGATACACAGTTCCAACATCCTGTGAAACTGGGACAACCTTGGATGAATTTTCCCCCAAATTTTGTAACTCTTCCTGTGCATCTCTATTTTATGTAATATCATAAGCTTTTGGTCATTTTTTCAGACAATAACTTCAGAAAATATCGTAACAGTATTGCTATAGCTTCTATGGAAGATGAGATATTTATTATTAGCAACTTCATTTAATAACAAATTATGTGCTTATACTTCCAATTAAATGCTTACTTAAGAGAATCAAAATGATCTGGGGAAAAAAGGGCATAAAAATTCACTAAAACTGTACTGTAACCATTTTTTGTTCTTTCTCTGAAGCTAAATATTCCACGGCTACAACCAGCAACATTTTTGGAGGCAGGCCCAGGTCATTTTTTAAATACATTTCTAAATAACACTTAGCATTAAAAAATATTTTTTAACATTTTGGGACTATGAGTTTATCTAGGTGCATAACGCATAAACACAGACAGAGGTCCTCAGTGTCTCCAGCAAACAATTATGCAACAGTCATTCCTTGAAGATAAACAAACACGAGCTGAAAGTAGGGGATGTTATCAAGAAGGCTTTGGAAGCAGGTCAAGTCAAAGGCAAGGATAAATGAATTTGTACAGCTCTAGCAGAATTCCCTGATGTCCCTTCTCCTCATTGGATACATAGCAGCAGTTCAAATATGACACTTAAGAAAGATTCAGGCTAGCAAACCATTTATTTAAACATTCTTACTGCACTTCACCAAAACTTATCCTTTGTCTGCTGGTCAGGAATTGCATAGATGAAACACTGTCAGTTAACTTGGACTTTAATGATAATCACAGCAGACTGAATGTAGTAGAAAAATACAGCATGTATGTATAAAGTATGCGCATAGAATCCTTCCAATTATATCAGCATCTTCCAAACTTGCCCTTGCTCACTCATTACGCTTTATAAATATTAGCACAAAATTTATAAATGGCCTATTTGCATTAACAAGATTAATGAGATCTAAGTACAAGGATGTGACTGAAAGACATTCTTGCCTTTCTACATTGCAGTAACAACTCTGCATCCTGTTAGTCACCTTCAAACTTTGAAGGTGAGGCAGTGAGCTCTGCAGCAGAAATATGTTCAAACAAAGTACTTGGGATACATTTGTCAACTTTGAAGGTCAACTGCGTGTCAATTTCTTAAGTGACTTTCTTTATATATCATCATCATCATTTCTTCACATACAATACATTCATTATTGCATTTTTCTTCCTTATATCCCTTGGCCAAATTACTGCTAAAATAAAAAATTACACACAATATGGCCAGATATAATCTCTCTCATCACTGATTCCTGAAATTTCTGGAAAATACCATAACTTACCAGGAATGCCACAGGAAAAAAACTTAAGAAGGTCATGAATAAGAATAAAAAAGTTTTTTCAAGCTCACTCTCTGTGCTTCAGTCTGCAGCACAATGATATACAGCATGAATAAGTACAGCTTTTATCCCTCAAAAAAAGCTAGTGCAGATGTTAATATTTTGATCTCACTGTTGGGCTGAATTGACCTGAGCTATGTAATAGTCAGTGACACCTGGTAGGTTCTACAGAGGTACAGCTTTTCAGAATAAATAAGACCAAGAGTTAGGGCTCCAACTTACATCACCTGGAAATCAAGTACTTGTTAGAAAATAAATTACTCTTCCTTACTGGCCATAAAAAGTGTTAATAAACTATTCAGCACATATTTCTGTGCCGTTTTGGCCTTTTTCAGAGTAATACCAAGGAGCCCTATGAATGCCCAGGCAGATGTGGAAGACTACCTAAAGTGAATGACAACTATGAAATGAGTAAAAGGTGAAACCCAATTGCTTAGCAAATTGTAAGTATATGAAAACTGTTTTTATTGTACTTTAGATTCTACATGGTTTTGCTAATCAAGTGGAAATTTTATTGATAGCTTCAGGAGATAAAAGTGTAAGGAATACACCCGAGCTTAGCTTTTTATGATAACATAGCTTTTCTTTGCTGAATAACTTAAATATCTTAAATGCACACATTTAACAGAGATTCCTCTGAATTAAAAAAAACCAAAAACAACAAAACAAAACAAAAAGACCCCAAAAACAAACAGAAAAAGTAACAAAACCAAAAAAACCCCACCTCTTTATTGAACAATTTGTTTACAAGTGTCCCTTCCACTCTGGCCAAGCAGGTGGCAAGTACAGGTGTTCTGCATGCCGTGGATTTTTTTTTGTGCAATATTTTGTTTAAGGATTCTTCATTCAGCATGTAATTTCTACAAAGAGGTCACCTAATATTTAATCTTTCAGCTTCTATAATCTGTTCAATGACATAAGGTGAGCAAACCATCTGATACTGTAAAAATACACGGCTTCTCAGAGCTCTGTCACAATATCAGCTGCCACCTCTAATCCCCTCTTCCACATTAGGGCCTGTTCTACTTGAAATGCCGTGTAATTGAAATTACAAGCTTTTGGCTTCTCATGGCAATCAGCCAGCAGCACATTTTACACTGAACCTTACACTAAAAAAATGGTACTTTGAGTTAACTTACACAAGGTTTTTCTGTTTAGAAGAAAGAGGGAAGGAGGAAATATGTGGTCACCTGGGAATCACATTTGTTTCAGTTTTTGAAATGCAACCCGAATAATTTTTTTCTAAAATTCAGTTCTGTTTTATTTACTGTTATTTGGATTATTATTTCTGCATTTGCCATGCCCAAGAACACAAAATTTTAGACAGGTATAAAAAGGCATTCAGTGATTTCCTTTTCTTACATATATTTTTCTAAAGTTCAGAATATTCTTTCAATTTAGAATTCTAGCCTAGAGTATTAAGTATTTTCTAATAAGAATATTTTCACCCAAGATTATTTTTTTTTTTTTTTTTTTTTTTTTCTGTATATAAAAAAATCTATGTCTAGTTTGTGGATTTTGTTTGACATAAGGGAGGTCTCACCCAAATAGGTCCAGGGCATGCAAGTCAAACTACTTTCCTAACGTCATGCAGGAATTATCACTTATTTCCCAAGAACCTTGATATGCTTTTCTAACCATCTTATATTGTTAACTTACCTAGCAGTGGTTAAACATACACATTTGTGTAGGGTGTTTTTTTTTTTACTACCTGTGGAAGAGCTGAAGTAACCTAATATCAACTGTTATTATTTTTATAGAAGATTTAAATTTTGAAGTTAAAATCTGAAATTTCACCTCTAAGTGCCTGAATTTCTACATAATTACAAAATTCAGCTTGGATGTTAAAACATTTGTAGCAGAAAACAGCAATTTGAACATAAATATGTTGATAAATCTCTAATTTGAACATAAATAGGTATATAAATATGATATAAATATGACCCTTATAATTCCTACTACCACAAAGGTGCATTGCTGTTGTTTCTGATGCAGCAGTGCAATCTTAAAATAACTCTTTGAATGAATAATCTGCTAAATGCTAAAGAGTGACCCCAACCCAGTAAATAATTTATAGAATTAGTTAAATCCAGAAGTTCGGATGATTTCTGCTGATTATACTCAAACAAGTAATTCAGTTGCTTCATATTATTCTTCTAGGGGAATAAATGGGTAAAGCTATGAAAATTTCTAACAAATAGAATTGAAATAATGTAGCATTGTAATATTATTGTATTCAACATATATTGACAGCAAGAATAAAGTCTTAGTTTTTTCTTGTGCATGAACCTTAAAGTCATTTTACAAACTGAGTTAAAGAATTTACACATTTATCACAGAAAATCTATGTCTGTATTTCTTCTATGAAAGCAAATTAAATGTTTCAAAGCAGTAGGGAATACAGGAAAAAAATATTTAAAACAAAACACTTCTATAAAACATTTTATTACAGTATTTTTTGCACAGTAATAAAGAGCAAAAACCAAAGGCACATTCATGTAGAAACGCTTTTTGCAGTTGGACAACTTTTTTCTTCCAGTTTCTGCTGCATTTGGATTGCTTTGCTTTACATGGATAATTTACAAAAAAAAATATACACCATTTTATGTGCATGTGCAAGGCACAATTCACATAAAAACCACCAAAAACTAAGCATAAATCCTGTTAGATCCAGGTGGTAAAAGAAACAAGTCAGTTAGAAGGCAAAGGCTACTCAACATGATCTGCTCAATGCTTGTGCCCTCTTTCTATCTGTTAGTCACTGTAAAGCTAGCAGCTTTCTCTGACACCCTGCTTTTCCATTTCTGCTAGGATTCCAGGCCACTTAAATTTTTCCTATTATCACTTCTGTATTTTCTTAGAGTCTTACTTTAATTTATGTTTCTGGAAATGTTCTAAACATTTGGCTAGCAAACTTTGTGTTCAGCACAATGAAAAGATCTCAAGAAAAAGATTGCATTTTGCCTGGCACTTTTCATTACACAAAATATTTGTCAGGCAGTAAACTAGGATCTCTAAGGATGTTTTGAATGCTTGTTTCCACTTTGAATTCTTACAAAACACTTGGGAAAAGTGCTGATTCCTGTAAATACTTCAACAAGCTTTTTTGCCAGCTTTATTCACTTATTCGCCCAGAATGCCTTGTTTGGGGTTGTGCAGCCCTTAAAATCTAAGTTTTCAATTTTTCAAACATGAATTCTTTTTATGAAAAATACAGCATAGCAAAATATTCTATTTTAAAAAGTACAAATAAAAAGATCTAACTACAAAAAACAGGGTTTTCAGAAAAAGAACAGTAAAAATATACAAAGCTGCAAGAAAATAATAATATAACCATAGTGTAAATTACATGAACCATATAATAGACATAGATGCTGCCTATCTCTTTTGAGTACTAGTATCCAGATTGTTTTAGTATCCACATTAAAGATCTTACATGTGGATTCAAACATGGGACATGAAAAAAAGAACCCAAAGGCTTTTTCTGAAAATCCTTATGCATACTACTTGCTGTTTTGTCCCACAATTTTCCTCAAAATGCTTATCCTCTGAAGGCTGAGGCACCTTTGATAGCAGAGAAAAATTTATATAACCATCTATTAAACTAGCCACAAACACAAATTAGCCCATTGGAATGCAGCACCAATATTAAACATTGCACACTTTGAGCCATGTCAGGATTTTTTACATGTAATATGCACATTTGAGGGAATACCATGAATCAATTAGTCAAATTTATGAGAAATGTCTGATCAACATTTTATTCTATTTTTCCCTCATCTTGCACCTCATAAAATATCTAAAAATCATTCAAGTCATGAGAATACATTTTGGTATCAATTCTGAAGTAATTTTGCAGGCATATTTCTTAGTGCTTTAAAGGATTGTGGAAATCCATTGCAAGACTGCATTTATCTACACAGCCTTCTTATGAGCCATCTCAGTTTTATCTCTATATTTTGTATGTCAAAATTGTCAAAGAATAAGTCTCACTTATTAAGGGAGCATGAAACAGATCTCTCCTTTGGAGCCCTGAAAGGCAAGGAGAATGGTTGGATCCTTTGTTTCTTTTTGAGGAGATGCAGTTACAGACAAAGTGTTGGATAGTTGAATTTTATTTTGAATATCAAGCCATTATAAAGAGACAACAATCAGCTAGCTACACACTATTTAAGCAAGAACACTAAGACACAACACACCAAAAATAAAAATAAAAAAAAAAACAACAACCCAACGCATATGAACAGCAACTGGCTCCATAGAAACTTAGTTTCTATGTTTCTTAGAAAATGAGTTTTCTTTTCTTAGAAAATTAGTTTTTCAGGAATGTGAAATTATCTGCCTTTGCCCTGAGGGGAGGATGGACAGGCAGAGCAAGAGCTGCAACTGCTCTTGTCTTCTCCTTGCAGCACTAGTAATTACAGCATCAGCCAGCTTTCAGGGATCCAGCCTAGGGAACCTTACTGCCTCTGGCAGTTCCATCCTCCAGGCAACCTTCAATAAGCCTGGAACTACCAGAGCATGAAATGAGCACAGGTATGTATTGTTTGCTCCTAAACCTGCACACACAGAGCATACATGTAAAACTGTTCAGCTGAAGGCTGTACCCTTCTGTAACAAAATTTTGCTAATAAGCATAATGAACTGTTGTTTTCTTTGTATTTTTTTCTATGTAATTCAATTAATTTGTTTCTCTCTCCCCATGTTACATATGTCTGCGGAATTACAAAATCAAACTTTGTAGCTACAAATCCAAATCAATAAGAAAATGTGAGTTCAGAAACTGCTGCAAAATTTATTTTACCCCTCTCTTTGCTGGTGGGAAGCAAAAAGGAGGTTTGAAAAAGAAGATCCAAGCAATGCCAGCTGAAGTTCTGTTCTTTATTCTTTTTGCCCAATATCAGCAAATGCTCTGTGAGGTTCTTGCACTTCAAGTTCTCAAAGAGGTTTAGGAATTGATCTGGAACTCCATATTCCTCAACTGCTTTTATAAATAATCTGGTTGTAAATATTTCATGTTCAAGACTATTTAGCTTTATTCACACTGCTTAATCAGCTGCCTAAAAGACTGCAAGACCAACCTGCATTGCCATTTTTCTTCTTTCTTTATATTGCCCTTTTTATCTTTAGCTAACAAATAATGAGCCCTTCCTTCACTTGCTATATCAAAACTAAAGTGTGCTAAAAAGCAGTACTGCTGAACAGACTGAACAGGAATTAATATGTCCTCTTACACTTGTCTACAATTTTGCAAAATTGCACAACTATTGTAAATTTATTTGCCTTGGGAAAAAAAACACAATCCTTTTTTTTTAACCTATATTCAAACTCCTGGTGCAATACTAGTAGCATCAAAATTATGATTATATAATTCTTTAAAAATGATTTTACTGCTGGTCATGTTTTCCATAAACTGCATATGTGCAGAGATTTTCTTAAGTTTCAAAATAAAAGAACAGATGGATATATTAAGAAGCATAATATTGAATGCATTCTTTTAAAATATACAAATGAACTAGCCACACATTTTTACTAAGCTGCTCTTGTTAGTTTTCAAGCAAATGATAACAGAAATCTAAATTATAGTTGAGATATCACAATTTCATGTTTCAGAATAAAATTTAGAGTTTGAATTATCTTGTTCTCTTGTTCTCTTCAATTTGTAAAACTGAATACTATCTGGTAAAATTAATATTTGACTAGCATTTAAAAACATACAGAATATGTATAAAATTACTGCACTTCCAATGGGCAAGCCCAACAACATGTGGTCTTGTAGATTATAATAACGTATTTCAAAATACAACCTTTCCTAGAATGAAGAAATTCCAGGAAAAAAGCAGAAAAAAGCAGAGAACTGAAAATTCTGAAGGGTTATGTAATTTTTTCTTTTTCTCTCTAGGATGACAGTGCTGGCAAACACAACTTTTATCTCTATGCACAATCAATTTTTTATGAAATAAATTTTTTAAATTATTGGATTACCCATAAGGGAAGGTACTTACAGATGCTGCCACTTGAGAAGCACTCTGAAGCTCATTAATATCTTCTGTGAGTGTTTCAACCCCAGGTACTTGAACTGTTCCAAAGAGGTACAAGAGAAATGTAAATCTATCTAATCAAGTAAGTGTTAGTCACTTTGAAAATTTAATGCCTAAAAATTTACTGCTGGGAAGGTAAATGTGGCTATTGTAAATGTACTACTTTTCAGTTACACTGCAATAGATTATAATTTATGTTTGATTTTAATTTAGAACATTAATGCAACATGGAACAATGTCTCCAACATGACTAGAGAGATAAGCAAGCTTCCTTCAGCTGCCACAGTATCTTCTAGGTCCTTTATTAACTTTACTATTTAAACTAAATACTAAATACTGTAAACTAAATACTGTAAACTAAATACAAGTAGTGGATCTCCAGCTTTAATTAAATGAATAAAACTATATGCAATTAATTCAGTTAAAATTCCTGAAGTAAAAGGATTTGGTCAATTTAGACAATTTAGCCAATTTAAAAGCCTTGTAAGTATACTTTTTGCCAATATTACCACATTTGTAAAATGACAGAATTTTGTGAGGAGTGTAAAATATCTCTTTGATGCACATATAATGGCTTAAAACAGATTTTATGCAACCCTGTCAGAGAAAGAAATTTCCAAGTAACATTCTATGCAGTTTCACTCTTTGCCTAACATTCTGCTAAGGCACTTAGATGTTGCATCAGCAACCTAACAAAAGTGAATGTTCTGATCTTCCCTATGTTCTGCTGTTATTCAGACACTTAGCAGGGAGGTCCTTATGTTTCCAGAACCCAGTTTGTTAAACATGTCAGGCTGTACTTACTATGAAAGCAGAATTTATTATGAAGCATATCAATTGTGGTTACCAGTTCATTGCAAACACAAAATTGATGTGGAAGGCAAAGAGGTGATGATAATGGAAAGTTGTGGTCAGGGAATTATGTGGGAATAAGAAATGATGTCGCACTTCTGCCATTGCCTTATCTAGTTCTCAAGACTTATTTCCACATATTTGCATCCTTAATTTTTTACCCTGGTCATGCAGTTCCACCAGAACAACACTACATGTGTTTCATATGTTCATGGTTGTTTTGAACATCTCCAATTCCAGACTTTTCCTCTACATCCTAATGTCTCTTTTGAACACTTAAAAAGAGAAAAAGAACCCGAAGAAAAATAAGCAAATAAACATTCCAAACCCCAAAAAAACTCAGTGATTCCTGTTTGATAGGGAATGAACTACTGATCAGAAATTTGCTCTAGCAAAATTTATTTAACAAACTAAGTATTATATATCACAATATAATCTGTAGAGCTGTATATGTAATAGAACAATAAAATAGGAAATACCACATATACACAGTGGCATAGTACCACAGAACCTATTATCTTTGGTCCAGTATTATTCCAGGTGGAGTCACAAAAGAAACAAGCCCACACCCCAGAAATATGTGGAGTTGCACAATACATGCAAAGAAACTCACATAATAAACAGCTTTTCACACATATTTGAGCAGTGGTTTAGAAGTCTTATACTTTTCATTTAGCCTATATTAGGAGATTACTCCCTACTACGTTACTGCATTTTAAACTTACTTCTACAAGAATGCATAGACTGCAAAAGCTTTATTTGAAATAACGTCTTCTTTTCCTGCCTTATATCATGGCTTCACTCAAAGGGTAAAGTACATTTCAGCAGAAGAGAATGAAAGAAGTGAAACAAGGTTGTATGGTACTTAGAGGAAATTGGGAGTAAATGAACAATTATCCCTAAGTGATACTATTTCTACATATTTAAAACCCCAAAAAAATACTAATGTAGACTGTTTCTGCAATCCCACCAACCTTAAAAATACATTTGGGGCTGTTTGATGTAGATTTTTCTGGATCAGTTCTGTTGTAGTGTGTATCTTTTGAAGCCTCAGCAATTCTCCCCATCTACCTCTACAGAACAAGAGTAAGCTCAATGGAGAACTGACCAAAGAGAAAAACCAGACAAGCTTGGCATCTACAGGAAAGCTTGCTGTGCAGTGATCAATGCTGCTGCTTCTGATCAAAATCAGGAACCTATTAAATTCTTCCCTTAGTTCTTTCCTGCAAAGTGATCTAATGGAAAAGGGAAACATTTTTGAGAGGTATAGTTTAGGACAGAGAAAAGAAACTGCAGCTCTAAAGTGTCTTCTGTTTTTCTATCTTGAGAGCTGATTCCTACCTTTCATTTTTACTACTTAGATCAAACACAAGTCTGTCCAATTCAGTAGGATTATACTAGAGGGAAATCAGTGTAGTGGTTAATTAGAACCAGATCCAGATTGTCAGTGGAATCAGTATAGTGTCTGATGCTCCACATGATCTTCTCACATAAGCTCCTGCATTGACTTTAGTAGGTGGAATTACTTAAAATGAGGCTTATTTATACGGGCTGCTTGATCAGATGTTCTGCTAATTACTTCTGAGCTTAGTTCGTCTGAAATTCACAGGAGAGATGTTCCAGATCTACCAGAAATGGATCATGATCTAAAGAAAGCTACTCTCAACTTTATTGTGCATCAGCATCTTGCTTGAATGAATGGTTTGCATCAGCACTTCCCAATCCACTTTTCCCTCATTAAGGTCACTGGTACTGATAAATAGCAGAACATAAATTCAAATAAATCTGGTAAGAGAAGCCTGCGAGTCACTATTTCATGATGTAATACATATGTAATAGGACATAACTAAAAATTCAGTGTAACAATGCCTTGGTTAATTAGGGTTTTTTAACAATATATTTTTGAGGGTTTTTTAACCATCCTCTCATACATAATATTTATTGGAAATAAGTATCAGATGCAAAGAGAGCAAATATTGTGCTGCATTTACAGGAAATACTGATAGAATGGGCAGTTGCCTGAGTTCTGTGTCTGTTTATAGTCTGTACCTACTTGTGAAATCCAGCTATGTTTTTTTTTTTCAAATTGAAGTGTAGCACTAGCCAACATTTTAGGAAAAAAAGACCCAACCATATGTTACGAAACACTGAACATTTCTGAGGGCACCTCTTGACAGAAATTTGGCATTACCTTACTACTGACCTCAGTCTTTTCACCCAAGAGGCTTTGTTATTTTCTAGCTACATGACTAACAGGTCCATATATATTCATAGACATGAGACAGATGTTTATAACAACATGAATATCATTTCCCCACCTACCTATCTAAATGTTACTGTCTGTATTTTATTGAATGTGGTGTTTTTTAAAGAAAGCATCTTCCATCTTCTCTGTAACCATATTGATTGCAAAGTATTCAGAAGCACATGAAGTGGCCAAAGGTAGAACACCTGTAGCACTTTTGTGTTCCATACACGGTGACCATAAAAGATCCAGCTCAAATATTACACAGCATCCAGTACATTCTGATAGTTTCACCTTCTTTAATCCCAGTGTCTCTGCCGCTTATCAAAACCTAACTGTTTAACTGAAGCTTGCAATGTCAGAAGACAGCATGGCAAAGTGGGCATTTTTTCACTTCAGGAGCAAAGGTACACAGGAAGAAAATTGGAATAATGAGACCTGTTCAAAAATATTTAGTGAACTGTAGAGTTTTTTCCCACATGTCTGTCTTATCTATCTATTTGCTTCTGCTGCAATAATCTCATGCATGCATTTTCCCTTACCTAACCCAAGCAAGCCACCATCACCTCCCTTTCTGGGAATCACTCTCACAATAGAATTTTGCCTTCCTTTCACAGGCCTTGATTGAAGTCACCAGTCTGAGCATCTCTTGCTGACAATATTCGTGAAGATTGCAGGGACATAATGTTTTGAGATTCTGACTGTCTTATTACCTTTTTCAATTAGGTGATCAATGGCAGATAAAAAGGAAAAGCCAATATCTTGACTGCATAAAACCACATATTGTCACAAAACCAGTTTGAAAAATTTATCTTTAAAGACATATTAGTTACTAATGGTTGGTTTACAAATGAGGCAAGAGAAATGAGTGAAAGCTGAGGTTGCTGTGACACCTAATAGCATATACAATAGCATTAGATAGCAGACAGAGAGCAGACAAATACATTAGATAGCAGACAGACAGTAGGATAATTTTTAAAAATACATTCCAGGGTTTTAGTTTTGGTTTTTTGTTTGTTTGTTTGTTTGGGGTTTTTGTGTTAATTGATCACCTTTGCTAATTTGTCTATGGCTGCTGAAGACTACATGCGAATCAAAACATTACATTTGTAGACTTGGCTGTTTCAGACCAACAGTAAGGGAATAGACTGAAGGATTTATCTTTGAAGATTCTCTGCCAAAACCTGTATTTCTTTCTCTCTGCATTACAGCAGCAGCTAAGATATGGTTAACCTTCATCAGCTTTATCTTTCATAGGAAATCTGGGCATTCTGTGGAAAGATATCTTTATGAAGTGCCTTTTTCAACATTTCAGGTGCTACTGAGTTCAAAAACCTGAGAAGAAATTCAAATACACCTGAGTGTCCTGACTGCAGATTAACCCAACAGATGAACATGTTTGTATGAGGGGGAAAAGTGTTTTTCAGAGTTATTTAATGAACTCTTTATTTCTACTGTAAATCGTTTGAATCATCTGGATGCATGTGTAGTAATAAATAAAATATTTCAAAGACTATTCCTTGGCATAAAAGTTGCAATGAACAGCCCATGTCTATGCTATTAAGCTGTTTTAAATGTTAGTGTACTAACATAAAATCTATCTATTAAGAACAAATTCTGGCCCAATGCACCTCTCAAAATAAGTCTAGGAAATATTGTGGAGTGTTAATTGGCCATGACAAAAAATATGTTAGTGGCTCCTTGAACATATTTGAAGTGTAAATGATTGAGTTCAAATGCCCAGGAACACTCTCTCGTTTCATCTTTTATAGACATAACCCATCTCAAACTCAAGATGTTGATGTTTGGGATTTTTTTATGAGCAGTAAATATTTATATAACTTACCATCAGAGTCTGACACTGCTGGCTCAGATGTCTGAGATACCATGGAGACATCTTCTGGCCTTTCTGCCAAATTATCCCCTTGCAATCTAAATTGTGGAAAAATGCAATGAAAACATTTGCAATCATATTCAATGGATAAGACACAGAAGAACATAATCCTTGGCTACATACCCTGCTCACAACATTGCCCTAACTAAAAGAGCAGCTTTGCTGAAAAGCACACACTCATGGTTCAGTCATAACCTGGACTGTCTAGTAACCAAAACTAGCCTCCAAGGAACAGCCAACTGAATACTAGCTTATGCATTTTTGTAAGTCTTATTTTACATAAGTGGGGGTTTGGTGTGCATGTGAGACTGCAAGCTGCCTTCCCTACCTTTAAAAATATTTTAATTGAATGGACTGTACTGGATGTCCATGCCCATGTGTTGGCAATGCAGTGGCCTTGGTGAGGAGAGGCTGGTGCTGCTCTGAGCCAGTCCCATCTGGCTCCAAAAAGAACCATAGCAGGGCATGGCTGAGCTCTTCAGCCAAAATGGTGGCACCTTGGAGGAAACATAGTTAAGGAAGAGCAAGCCACAATGCCACACCGGCAGAAGAGCAGGGAACAGGAAGACTGGGAAACAGCAGAGGACACACCAAGGTCAAAGGAGAGATGGTGATCCATACTCTGAGTAGATACTCCCATACAGCCCATGGTGAAATGCCAAAGGCAATATTCCATGCAGCCCCTGGAGGACCAACACCACGGCAGGTGAGTAAGTCTGGAATGGACAGTAGCCAATGAGATCCCACACTGGAGCAGGTGAAAAGTGGGGTGAGGAAGGAAGGCAGAGAGGACCTGTAATGGACTGACCACAAATATCCATTCCCTGTCTCCCCTGCACTGTACAGTGGGTGGGGAGAGAAATCTGAAGTGAAGGAGTGAATATGAGCCCAGGAAAAGGAGGAGGACAAGTGTGGTTTTAATGTTTATCTTTTAGTTTCTCATCACCTGAACCTATTTTAATTAGCAATAAATTAAACTAATTTTGCCCAAGTCAAGTCTTCTTTGCCCATTTCAGTAACTGGTAAACAATTTCCCTGTCTCCATCTTAACCCACAAGCTTTTATTTCCTATTTATTCCTGTCATCCTATTGGCTGGGTAGGAAACTGGCCCTTAGCCAAAGTTAACCCACCACAGGGGTTATGTATGCAAGAATATTTCCTCCTCCTTTGTTACTTGTTAAAAGAAAAATACAGTAATTGTGGCAGACTTTGTCTTCAGGCTTTTCCGTTGCACTAGCTGACTGCAATGCCTTGACAGCAATTTATACAAATAATGCTTGTATCTGTTTTTTCAAATGAGCATCCCAGGAGTCCCACCACCTTTCTCCAGGCTCTTATGAATCTTGAGTACAAATTCTGCTCTGAGGAAGTGCTTTGTAGCTCTAAATGCAATATAGCTGCCATTTACATAAAGGTTATCTTACCTTGGATTCATTCAGACATGAAAAGAATAAGAAAAATGCAATTCAATTTTGCAAAGCCCAGGAATCATAAAAATGCATTGAAGTAAAACCTTAGGGAAAGAAATAACTTATCTCTTGGAAGAAAAAAAAAGTTCTTTTCACTCTCTATTCTTACTCTCTGCAGCTATTTTATACTAAGCTTGAAATTAACCTTTGAAACCAAGTAGAACCCCCCTATCTGCCCTATCTAAATTTCACATTTTATGATTCTCACAGTTATCTAATATAGATGGATTTTAAAGTCATCTGTTTGTACTCCTCAAAATCATTTCCCCAACAACCCCCTCCCCCAATTTCTTTTATCTCCTTTTATTGCCCCTAGAATTATTTATTTATGATGGAAAGGAAAGCTCAGTGTAAATTCATAATATTTCTTGTCCAAGGTGGCAGATCCATAGAACAAACTCAAGACAAAAAAAAAGCTAAATGTGTAAACCTAATTTTGAAAATTACTTCTATGAACCCTTTATAGCTCTGTACCTGGGTTCTAATGCTCTTCTAATGCTCTAGTTGCCGATTCTTTAAAAGCCTAGCTTGTCAAACAGAAGAAAATGACTTTGTATCCTAAAGATATTCAAATAGGGCAAAACCAAATTGCAAATGAAATAATTATGCAAAAAAAAGAAGGTCTCAAAAATCACATAATTTTCCACTGCAATACAATTCACCCATCCTCCTTCATTACGTACATATGCACATTTACTGCAAACACACATTGAGTCTTAGAAAGATATGCATGAAATTGCAGGAACCAGAAGTGAGATACTCTTCTCTCCAGCCATGTTGGTAGTTCATTTATATTTAACTACAAGGATAATTACTCCAACCTTTTCTGTTTACATTACAGTCATATAAAAACTATCTCTAGAAGTAAGAGCTTCTTCTTTTATCCCATCAGAATTTTCAAGATTTTCTAATATGTTCCCATTCTGGGCTTCAATAAATCAAAGCTAGACATGAATAACTGAAAATATCCTCATCTTATTCTAGAATTTAGATATATTTCAGTGGCCCACTGCCTTATGAAGAACACTAAGATACACGAAAATCTTTTCAATGTATCTAATCAGAAAATCCATTTTATAAGATTTTACTTTGTAGGAAGAAATGGCTGGGGTACTGTGTGGATGGGTGAATAGGATGTTTGACATATCCGTGTCTTATTTTCACATCCAATTTTCAATTTATGTATGTATTTCTTACATATAGATTCATATCAGAATAGATTCTCATGAAACTCAAGCAACAAAAAAGTCAGTCTTCTTGCCAAAAGAACTTTGGTAATTGGACTATTACAATTTCTTCTTCAAAAGTAGTATTATTCATAAGACATCTCCACAGTAAAATGACAACACTTAAAAGCTCTTAAGCAGAAAGAAGCATTCATTAGAAAGACACCTAGCTTTAGAAGAGCTACCTAAAAACTACTATCTTATTAACACTCGATGGACTACTTCAGCTTTTAACCAAGACATTATTTCAGCTATTAATTATTTTAATGTGAGTCTAAATTTGAAACCTGATAGCCAACATTTTTTTCCCCATATCTCTTTCTTGCTTAGAGGACATTGTTTCAGTTATATTAACCAGTTGCATGTTGGAACTTCAAGAGCTACAAAAGCAAACAGCCTACAGGTAAATATTTCAATTTTCTTTGACCCCAAAATGCATTCCAAGAAAACCATTAAGAACTTCAGGACCAAAAATATTCTGAATAAATTCTATAGATTTGGTGCAGAAGCATTATACAGGGTCTATTGCTACAAGCAAGCTTATGGATGCATGAATCACTGTCCTCCTGCCAGTATGATTTCAAAAATATGATACACAGATTCATGAGTGGGTCAGATTGGAAGAGACTATAGTGGGCCTGTAGTCTCCACTTCCCTGCTTGACCAGACTCATCCTAGAGCACATGGCACAGGTGTCCAGACTGTGGACAGACAGTTCTTGAATATTTCCAGTGAGGGAGACTCCACAACATCTCTGGGCAACCTGTTCCAGTGCACAGTCACTTGCACAGTAAAGAAGTTCTTCCTCATGTCCAGGTGGAACTTCCTCTGTATCAGTTTCTCCCTATTGCCCCTTGTTCTATTTCTTGGCATCACCGAGAAGAGCCTGGATCCAGCCTCTTGAAGCCCTCCCTTCAGACATTTGTATACATTGGTAAGGCCCCCTCTCAGTCATCTCTTCTCGAGGCTGAACCGACCCAGCTCCCTCAGCTGTTCCTCGCAAGGGAAATGCTCCAGTCCTCGCATCAGCTTTGTAGCCCTTCACTGGACCTGCTCCATGAGCTCCATGTCTCTCTTGTCCTGAGGAGGCCAGAACTGGACACAGCACTCCAGAGGTGGCTTAACCAGGGCTGAGTAGGGCTAGAATCACCTCCCTCAACCCACTGGCAATGCTCTTCCTAACACATCTGCAGGACACCTTTGCCCTTCTTGGCCACATGAACGCACTGCTGGCTCATGAACAGATGCAGACCACCAGGACCCCCAGAGCCTTCTCTGCGGAGCTGCTTGCCAGCAGGTCACCCCCAGCCTGTGCTGGTGCAGAGGGTTATTCTTCCCCAGGTGCAGGACCTTGAATTTGCCTTTGTTGAATTTCGGTTGGCTCTTCTCAACCCATCTCTCCAACCTGACAAGATTAGATGCAGGACAAATTCCTATCTGGGAATATAATTCTTCTGAGGACTACATGGGATTAATAAAAACAGTTACAAACATAGGTACTTTCTATCATCAGGGCCTAAGGAGAAGGCATAAAGTATTCTAAAAACTAAGAACTTGAAATGCTTTGGATACCTCATCATGAGATAGATGCTCTCTAGAATTTGTTCTTGCATAGACTACTGATTCAAAGTATGTGTATTAATAATGGTCTGGTGCTAGTTTATAATAGAGGTTGTGCTTAATAATTGAGCCAAATAAAATTCAGAGGGTGATTGTCACTTACAGACAGAGAAATTTAGATTATATTGAAGTTAATACTATTTTGACTATTCTTCCAGAAATATGTCACTTAAATAACCAAAATCCCATTCTATTCCTTCCTAAAATGAACCAGCAGAAGGGTTATATTTTTAGACAAAATCTCCTTTAATCCCAAATAAACAACTACAGCCAAGAGTTATATAATTACTGTGCATGTGGCTGGTCCTCAAATTCTGGTACACAGCTAAAGACTTTTTTTTATTTTTAAACATAGCAAACTAGAGATGGATAACTGTGCTCAGATTCTGGTGTTCCCTAGAGATGAACAACAACAGAAACTGAAACTCCACTTGAGAAATTCTGAAAACCTGCTCTTTCAAGAAAATACAAATGTTTCTGCTGACTTTTTAGAAGTGAAGAAAAATTCCTTCAGGGGCTCCAGGACAGTAAAGGGCACTCTCTGAGGAAGAGGGGGAAATTGCATGTCTAAGCACTGCAGGTCCAGCCATTCTCTCTGCTTTGCCCTGCATCAGCTAAATTTGTTGAATCTGAATAAACCCTGTAAAAAAATTTGGTTTCTGTGAAATATTATTCCTGAAAACACACATTTAATTAGAAAATTCCTGATTTCCATTGGTAAA